TCACTGTCACATAGGCTGTCACAGAGGCTGGGGTAGAGTACCTGCCCCGCCCTATGCCAAGAGAGACACCCAGGCTAACTGGGAAAATGGATCTATCCCCAGAGACTGTTAGTGACTGTTAGAAGGGGAAGGGCCAGGTTGTGGGTGTCACACAGGACACAGGCAGTGTCTGGGGATGTCTGTCACAGATTGGGGTGGAAGGAGAGGGCATGGCCATGTAGGGACAAGGCCATTGTGCTGGCTAATATGCCTGCTGTTATAATGGTGCCTGACAAGAGGCAATCTAAGGAAGGAAGGGATTATTTTGGCTCACAGTTTAAAGGGATACAGTCCATTACAGAGGGGAAGGCATGATGACAGAAGCAAGAGGTCACTGGTCACATTGCTTCCTCAGTCAGGAAGGGGGATATAGAGGGAGAGAGGGAAGAGAGGAGAGAGAGAGAGAGAGACCCTGGTGCTCAGCTCCCTTTTCTCCTTTTCTCCAGTCTAGTTCTTCATCCCTAGACTGATGCCACCAGCAATCAGGGTGGGTCTTCCCTAAGAAATCCCTCACAAGTGTGCTCAGAGACTTACCTCCTGGGTGATTCTAAATGCTGTCAAGTTGACAGTATTAACCATTGCAGGAGCTATCCAGTCTGGTTAGGAGCCTTCCCCAGGACATGGGACTGGGGTTGGAGGAAGGAGCCCTGGGTGAAGGTGGAGGGCAGATGGCCAGCATGGGTGCCGGTGTGGAGGAGGCCGGACCACGTGCTCCCAATAGCTCCATAACCAGTAAGACTTAGGGAGACTTGCCCAGGGACTGGAGGGATGTTGTTCAGATGGAGTAGACTTCTGGGAAGGGACTGGCAGGACAGGGGAGACTGCTCCAGGCAGAGGGAGCAACTAATGGAAGCTATCCTGGCCTCCAGAGCAGCTGGAGGGCTAGTGCTAAGAGCCGCTAGCAGAGGGGAAGGCGCCCTGGAGCAGGAGTGTGGCATGCCGACCTATCCTCCTGTGGCTTGGGGACTGTCATCTTGAAGCCAACCTCCCCACCCCATAGCAGAGGGAGATGAGTGATAGAGGCTCACTCGGCTATGTCTTCTTCCTGCCTCCACAGCCACAGCCTCCCGACACGCTCAGCACACTCAGACCACTCTGGGACCCGCCACGTCCTGTCCTGGCAGCCTGTGGTCATGCGGCTGGGCTATACCAGGCACAGCAGGGTGTGGGCTCTGGGTGGCTGGAGGAAGGGCAGGGCCAGAGCCAGGTGCAGGCAGGAGAACAAGAGAGAAAGCCGATCCTGCCCACCCACCAGGAGTAGCCCAGAACACAAAGGCCACTCTTGGCTGGTTTACTTTGGAACCTGAGGCAGTGAAGCTTCATGTGGAATCCAGTTTCAGACAGGCCTCTGATGCCAGGGGACCCAAAACCCTGTCACTTGGCCAGACACGGGGTGGAGGGGGCAAAGGGGTGTTGCTGGGGTTCCCTGGCTCCCCAGAGTGTTCTGTCTCTCACTTTGGAACCAGCAGGACTCAGAACAGAAGCTGCCAGATTCAAGGCCAGCCAGGCTGGGGTCCTCAGGCTATGTTTCTCTCTTAAAGAGTCCCCTGTGAGATCTCCAACCCTGCCCAGGGATGCCCCAAAGTCCCAGTGAGCCAGGGAGAGGCAGACACACAGGATCACAAGAAGGCATCAAGGAATCTCAGGAAGGACTTAGAGGATCCCCCTACCCACAGCTAAGGAAGATGGACCCCAGGGTCAGCAACTGAGCAGGGACTGAGCCGGAGTCTGGGAGTTCTCCACACACTGAGAGAAGCCCATCTCAGCATCAGTTTTGGAGAAGAAGAAGAAAAAAAAAGTGTAGCATTAAAAGGGAAATCAATCGTATTGAATACAGCTGTTGGGACACTTAAAAACCAAATTTCAATAGTGTGTGGGCCTCTCTAATGCCTTAAATGGGATCAAGCAGGAGCTGGAAGCAGTGCGGCAGTGAAGTTGTGGGCAGTAAAAATATCTGAGGTGCCCACAGCCGCCATGACAGGACAGGGATGTGGAGACAGTCTCCAGGTCTTTGGGTCATAGCTGTTAATGCTGCTGTTACGGATGTAGGAAATACTGCACTGAGTTCATGAGGCGATGCGTCTCTCCTCCCAAAAACCTTTCTCATCTCTCCAAGAACCTCAAACCCTGTAAACAAGCAAGAGTCACCGGGCGTGAGAGGCCACCTTGGATGTTGGTGTCTGGAGGGGCACATGAGAGTGTAGATGGGTGCTGGTTCTCACAAATGGTCAGGGTGTCTGTCTGCACGAATCCTGCACTTGAACACAAACTGCAAACACATCTTTCCTGAGTCAGGTGCACGTGTGTGCAGGCTAGTGCACGGACGCTTCTGCCAATGTGTGTACATCCCGGGCTCCAGGGCCTCTAGAACCCTTGCAGGCAGGTGGACACAGATGGGTACCAAGATCCAGCGAACAACCCCGAGCTCAGGGCGGCTTCCCTGTTTGCAGAGGGGGAGATTACTCACCCTGGGGAGGGCTGCCCCGACTGTCCTCCCAGCTGCCATCTTCGTTTCTTGCATGATATGAATAATGACTTTGTTGTTTTGCAAGCTCATCATAGAGGATTCGAGCGATGAGGGAAGGTGCAAAAGAAGTTTAAAATGACCCAAATTCTCCTCAGCTAGGAGGAAGAAAAATCACCATTCATGTTTGGTGATAAGTGTTGCAGAAAATGCCTTCTGCTCAGTCAGAGGTGGAGGCTAGTCAAGGAAAGGCTCTTACCGAGTGGGGACCTACTCTCGCCTGCTATTTTTAACAAAGATGGTCCTTTAACTTTGTGTGAATCAAACAAGAAGCTGCAGAAGGACGAGGCGGCTGTAAAGGGAATCTGGCTTCCTGCTTCTGTGACATTCATTATGTGCTGTGCTTGTCCTGGGGTGCGCGTGTGTGCGCGCGCGCGCGCACACACACACACACACACACACACCTGGATGCTCGCTCACTCACACACAGACTCACTCTCACCAGGTAGTGGTGGCTCCCACCTTTAATGCCAGCAGTCGGGAGACAGAAGCAAGCGGTTCTCTGTGAGTTCAAGACCAGCCTGGTCTAGAGAGCGAGTTCCAGGACAGCCAAGGGCTACACAAAGAAACCCTGTCTCAAAAAAACAAACAACAACAACCCCCCTCTGTGTGTGTGTGTGTGTGTGTGTGTGTGTGTGTGTGTGTGTGTCCCAGTGCAGAGGCTCATATTTATCAGCATGTGGAGGCCACAGGTCAGCTTGCAGCGCTGTTCCTCAGGAGCATCTTTTTTCTGACACGGAGCTGGATGATTGCCCAGCAGGCTCCAGAGGTCTTCCCGACTCTGCATCCCCACACCAGAATCACAGGAAGGCACTACCTCCTGAGGCTTTTCAACTGAGATCTTCACACTCTGACGGTGAACACTGTAACCACTGAGACACCGCCCAAGGCCCTGGAGGTGTCCTCTCTGTGTTTTTATACATTTATGTTCTCCCCCGTGTCTGTGTGTGTGTGTGTGTGTGTGTGTGTGTGTGTATGTATTGCCACAACCAACATGTGGAGGTCAAGAAAAGAACCGCAGGTGTGAGCTCTCTGCTTCCACCCATCATGGGGACCCAAGGATTGAACTCAGGTCACCAGGTTTGGCAATGAGGGCCCTTGCCCCCTGAACCATCTCAGCAGCCCTAGAGGCAGCCTTTTGAGGCTGGGTTGTTTGCTCGCTCATCACCTGCACCCTGGTTGGATGCCTGCAGCCCATGGTGCTTAGGACCGGTGGGTCCTCGTTGGCCGTGTGCTGGGGGGGGGGGGCACAGAATCCTATGGGGGTCATTGATGTCATGCTTCCCCCCAGGAGTGAGACCAGACAAAGCCCTTGGCTGACAGGAAGGGAGAGTGTCCCTGGCACACATCTCCAGCAGGTGTCCAGTCTGCCCTCTTGAGCTGGTGCCCGGCTGTTGCCGGGTTTGATGTGGTCATTAGCGGTGGGGCCTCCTGGCGTGGTGTCCTAGTCAGGAGCCTTCTGGCCACATCCTGTTTTGGTGAGCCGGTCAGGAATGCATTCTTCTGCCTTGCTGTCATAGACAGAGTGTGTTCGCACCAGGTTCTGAATCGTTGGCGGCCATCAGGGGCCACATTCTCTCGGTTTGACGTCACACACATGTGCCTGTTGGATGTCCTCTTTAGCTTGGTCACCGTCTTCCGGTGCTGCTGTCCTCTTGGGGTTTGCATTTGTTTGCCCCCTTTGTGGGGGAAGGGAGGACAGTGTGCTGAGCCAAGAACGCTGTCACACTTCCCATCTGTAGAATCGGTCTGGATGGGGACGTCACCACACTCTGGGGTGCTATGACACCCTCTGCAGGAGGTCTGCGCAGCTGTGCGTAGGCATCTGGGTGCCAGCTCCTGCGTGCCTGGCTGGCTACTTCTGAAAACCCACAGGGTTTTCCTGGGTCCCTCGGGGCAAATGCCGATGTCCCCTCAGTTGCTGCCTCCAGGTGTGATTTGCACCATGCCTGGTTTGAGCACATGGGGACACCGTGGAGAGGAGGGATGGTGCCTGGTCCCATGCAGGACCAACTCCTGCAGACACGCCCCAACCTCTATTGGGGAAAGACCCACTCTGTCAGGGCCTGGGATAAAACAGGTGACATCCCTGCCCGTCCCGCCCCCGGGAGCCCAGGGGGCCAGCTGAGGAGGAAATGTCTGAAAGGAGGCCAGCTGAAGCGTGTTCTTTGCTGTACTGTGAACAGGGTAACACGATCATGACAGCACACTTTCTCTTGACACATACACTCGGCCAGGAGTGGAGGGGAGCACAGTGTGTACCCCAGCTGCTGTCAATTGTGTGTGTCTCTGTAGTGATTGGCAAGGGGGAGGGGCCTGTACACATCCGCAAATTGTGTGCTAGCTGGCCGAGCACACTGTCACACCCCTGTCTGTTTCTTCCAGCGTGCCCAGGCAGCCCGAGGAGAGCCTGTGCCCCCAGAAGCAGGATGAGAAGATGGCAAACTTCTTGTTACCTCGGGGCACTGGCAGCTTCCGTAGGTTCACGCGGGAGTCCCTGGCGGCCATCGAGAAGCGCATGGCGGAAAGGCAAACCCGAGGGTCGGCTACCTCACAGGAGAGCCGAGAGGGCCTGCCAGAGGAGGAAGCTCCCCGGCCCCAGCTGGACCTGCAGGCCTCCAAAAAGCTGCCAGATCTCTATGGCAACCCGCCCCGAGAACTCATTGGGGAACCCCTGGAAGACCTGGACCCTTTCTATAGCACCCAGAAGGTGACTCCCGCCCCTCAGCACCCTCCCTGCCCTTCTGGGAGGCTCCCAGGAAGGCGACAGGGCGGATGGGCTCTGCTCATAGGGAGTTCTGTGTGGGGTGGGCTCCCTCGGGCTTTAGGGGAGTGAGTCACCATTGATCTGTGCTACAGTTGCCTTAATCTTTGAATTCTGGGGTAAAGACATCGCTCATGCTGTCTGAGCCCCTAACGTGGGGGTGTGAAGACCACTGAGCCGGCTTCTCGTGTGCTGCTTCGGTGTATACCCGGGATTCCTTCCTGTTCCCAGACATGTGGGCACTTGGAATGAGGCCCTGAGCTGTCCCCCTCCTAACCAAAAGCCGGTGTGCCCCTCCCATCCTCCTGGCATTTCAGAGAACTAGCCAGATGTCACCCTCAGGGTCAGCGGGCTCAGGCTGAGCCACAGTAGGAGTCTGCTGGGCCTTATGGCCTTGCCTGAACCACAGAGGGCATGGGAAAGCTCTCAGAGCGGTGTGTGTGTGTGTGTGTGTGTGTGTGTGTGTGTGTGTGTGTGTGTG